CCGAAACGGCATCGCCTCAGCTGCCGATTTACCTAGGGACAGCCCTGGTTGTAGGTACAAACTGAGACATGCCAGGAAAGAAATTAGAGATGACTAGGAATAAGAAGGAGTGACTTATTGGCAGTTAATTGGTTTTATCATGGGCTCCCTGAAACCTGGATATAATTTTAGGGGTTCCTCTGCAAGGAAAAAGGTTGAGATAGGCTGCTATGAAGATTAAATTCTTCACATTCATGTCACCTAAACAATCAAAAATTCTGCAGCTCACATTTGTTTGGGCTTGATGTATTGCAAAAGTACTACATAACTCAATGCTCGCATAGCTCAACACAGATTTCAGAACCAGATGTTTTCATATTTGTCAAGTTTTTATTGCTGTCCTGACTGGGGAGATTCCCTCTCACTTTCTATTCTGGAACCACCAGGACGTAGGAATTCAAGGGGTGCAGACAGGTATAAAAACTTGACCGATGTTCTAGCACCTTCCCTTTCTACTAAATAATTGTGTTTTTTGCTTTCTATGTTCCCATCAGAGAGCTATCCCATAACTTCCTGTCCTGGTGACACACTGTGACCAGGACAGGAAGTAAGGGTAACTCTCCCCAACAAGGACACATGCAGCAATAAAAACTTGACAAGAGGTTCTTCTAACCCTTAACCCATCATTTGTTTTAGGTAAACTGTAGAGGTGCTGTCTTACATCATAAGTTCACAGCTATGTTGATGCCTGAAGTCAAGTCATCAATTGCTATTCTGTGCATGTAACTGATAATTGTGTTGCAAGTGATTCATGATTGGATGCATTTTTTATGAACAAAATTATGGCATTTAGTGAAACACAATATGGCAGAACTGTAAAATGTAAGAAAAATCTCAAAAGCACAACATTTTGGCTTTGTCATGAAGCCCTCTTTATTAAACGTTTTGATAAATCTGCATTTGGAGCAGAACTTTGGAATCATTGACGCCTATAAATTTTGTGTCCAGTGGTCCACAGAGCAGCAACTTTAAACTATGCATTGGTGTCAACCTTTTGGCATCACACTTTCTCCTGCCATGAGTAAACATATGCTAGTACACTTGCATGTATTCTCAAAAATTCTGGCAACAGGAAAAAAAGACATGTCCATGAAGTGATTAGTAAATCAGAGTCCATTGGTAATGGCATACTTTGCAGAGCCGTATCTAAACTACTGTCTTCCTTCATCATTTCTTTACTTCTATTTGTATAGATCTCTGCACAAGTACTTGTATACACTTACGCACTTGAACCCCTTTTTTTTTACACTAGTGTGTTGGCAGCCCATTCAGAAGCTGAGAAGTTCTGGCACATAACCTCTAGAGCCCTACAAAGTTGTAAAGGTGAAAAGGGAAACACTTTAGGCAATGTAAGCAATAAAGCACCGGAATGGAATGGACCGTAGACCCCAAAAGATTTAACCAAACTTAGAGGTATATCCTTAGGTGGTCCATGAACATTGCTTATAAAAGTCCCTGCACTGACACTGCCATGAAACTTTGAAAGTTGGTGAGCTCTTTACTTTATCTATTCCACCTATTTATGGAGGTTTGACCAATGCAGAACATTGGTCTGCAATCACATGAGTTTAGAATGCATAGCCTGAGGGAACATGGCAATGAAAGCCCATCCTGCCCAATGAATTATATGAAGACACGGTTCCTGATGTGCTGACAGGAAGTCAGTAGGATGCATAGCTGTCGGTTGTTCCTGATTTCCACACATAGTCATGGCTTTTCAGAATTTCCTGCAGGAAGTATTTCCCCGTACAAATGTTCCTGGCTTTCCAAATTAGGCAACTGCATGATGAAATGCTTCCCTTTCTGTATCCTAGATTTCGTTCTTGGCAGTTTTTCTATAGCGTACTTGTTTTATAATTTATTATAAATCAGTGCATTATAATTAAAACCAGTTCTAAATATTAAACTGTTTGATGGTTGCTATGTTATGAGAACTCTTTGGCCGACTTTATTATGATTATTGTCATTATTATTTCACTTTCAAAGGTGTTTATTATGTCTCCATATAATGCATTGATGCAAATAGACTATCATGTCACAATGCCGTTTGTGCATAAGATCAACATATACGATCTTTATGATAGACCTTCGGATATGGCATCCATACAGTCTTCTAAACATTTTGATTTAACACCAAGTACATAATGTACACCTATAATCGTTTCAATAATTTACCCATCACTGAGCTAGCTTGTGCTTGACTATGATTTCAA